CAAATGTAATTTTTGGTGACATTACTTGGTGGTCTAGTACCTTATGAGGCTGTGCAGTAGAGGAGTGTTGGATTTGGGGACAGGAAGACCTGAGCAAGAATCCAGCCTCAGATGCCGACCGGCTGTGATCCTGGGCAAGTCACTTAAGCCTCTCTCAGCACCGGTTTCTTCATCTGTAAAAATCAGGGTAATAGCAACTATTTCCCAGGGTTGTTATGAAGATAAGCTGGGATGACATGTATAAAGTGCTTGGTAAACCTTAAAACGCTCTGTAAGTGCTACCCTCTTCTAGCTTCTTCTGGAAAGTGTTCAGACATGTAGTCCTGAGGCTTCTATATAGTCTGTAAGTCTTTGACCTCTCTTGTTTTTTATGCTAAAACTATGTTTTCCAAAATATTTTTTGATACTGTACCCTATGACCACCTTTACTTTGACGGATAAGTTTTTAATCTGGAAAATCTTATTGCATTCTTGGAATTTCTCTACCTTTTCATCCTGAGGTGTAGTGTCCTCCAGTATGTAAGAAAGAGCACTGAATAGAGATTCAGAGTACTCCTGGGTTTCATTCCTAATTCAGCCACTTAAAGTCCTTATGACTTTGGTTAGGCTAGAAGCTTTCCAGGCCTCAGTTCCCTCATCTCTAAAACAAGGGGGTTGGCATTGGATTGGCAAAGATAACCAACAAGGAAAAGGATAAATATGGGCCTGTGGAAAAATAGACACATTAATCTACAACTGGTCTAACCATTCTGGAAAGCGGTTTAGAATTATTCCCCAAAAGTCACTAAACTAGGAATCAAAGAGATCAAAAGAGATCAGAAAAGAGGAAAAATGTCAAAGTGTGTATGTATACATACACCTAAACATACATACATATATACAAAAGTGTATAAATTTACCTGTTTCTGTGTGTGTGTTTGTTTTGTGACATACATACATACGCTCTTAACTGGTTGTCGATAAATAATAAATGAATGAATAAAGAGATTTGTCTGGGTTAGTGTGAAGAATACTTAAAAGGTTACCTGGATAGTGGTACCTTAGGTAATAGTCCTAATGTGTAGTAATGAGGATGATAACAGGGTAGTGGCAGCGCGGGCAGGGAGGAAGAGGCATCTGTGGGAGAGTTGTTAAAGAATTAGAGTTAACAGAAGCTGGCAACTGTTTGGAAAAATAACAAGTGCTTTGAATATGGCAGCTGATGGAGTTGATACAGAGAAATGAGAAGGATGAGCAATGGTCTTGTTTTTGGAAGCAGGGGAGATAATCTCAGTTTTGGACAAGTTTAGTTTTGAGATGTCAGTGAGAGGTAAAGGTGTACTTGGGGATACTGGCCTGGAAACTAGATTTGGGACTCAGCAGTGCTGAGATGATAGTTAAAGTTTTGATTCTGAGATTACCTATGAAAAGTATAGGAAATGAAGAAAATGCAGAAGAAATGGCCCCACCTTTTGAAAGAGTAATTTCTAGAATGGATGAAGCTTAGTTCTCTATTTTAGTTTGATGTTTTGAAGTAGATAGGTAGGAAATGTGAAGAACCATTCCACATAAGAATTCATGCTTTCATTGTGATTATTTGCTGGAATTCATTTGAAATCATGCCATATGCATATCAGAATTGATTAGGGAGGTATAAAAGAATTACTCTGTCACAGAAAAGGTTAAGAATCCCTTGAGATTGTCCTCAAGTTCCCTTCTCACTCTGATTCTGTGATTAAATGGTGAAAGTATCTAGAATCTGTTAAAAAGCAAAAATGTCCGCCTTTACAATTATATACTAATAGACTCTCTGAGCTGTTTATCCAGCTGTATGTAGTAGTGTGGAAAATTTTGTATTTTTCATCCACTCTGTGTTTCCTGTGTGAATGTTTAGATTGACCTGTGAAAGGTGCCAGGTGACGTAGTGGCTAAAATGCTGGACTTCGAGTCAGGAGTACAAGTTCAAATTCTGCTTTAGATAATTATTAGCTGTTCAAGTCACTTAACTTCTCTTGTCCTCAGTTTCTTCATCTGTAAAATGGAGATAATAACACCTATACCCATCACAGGATTGTTGTGATGATCAAATGGGAGATAATCTTTGCAAACCTTAAAGCACTACATAAATGTTAGATGTTGTCACGGATCTTATTTAGGAGCCTTTGGCAAATATATTTCCTTGTTGGATTACTTGTTAAAATCAGAAGTTCACTAAGCAGAGTTTATCTCATCTCTTTTGAGGAACATAGCATGATTTAGGCATAAACGTGGGAGACAGTTTGTTGAAGGAGGGCTTTGAAAGTAGCAATCTACCAAATAAAATACTTTTTTACAGCCAACAGGATACACAGTGGGATCTCATATGTTCTATACTATTGAGTCAGTTGTGTGACTGATTGTAAAAGTCGTAGCTGCTGCCAACTATCATTTGCAAAAGCCTGTTTATTCCTTTTGTATACCATAAGGATGTCTTCTATATGTATGTGGATTGTAATAGAAGTTGTAGTGATGGGAAAAAGAGATATTTGAGCTGCAAGCTATCATGGCATTTTGTGTCACTTTTTTTTGGTTATAGTAAGGTTTGAAGTTATTGTTTTTTCCAGAAGTGTTTAGTAGCCTCCTGTCTCTCTTGAGAACTGATTCCTCAGTGCCTTCAAAATTTTGTCACGCCTAGTATGGAATTTTTCTGTGTATTCTGTAGTACTATTTTAAATTCTTTATACAGCATATTTGGAATGAAGATGGTGGTGGTTTTATTATAATTTGTGGAGAAAAGAGTTTGTTATAAAAGTCTTTGCAGATCTTTTTTTCTTTCTTTATCTGTTATATTTCTAGTTTCACCTTTAAATGGCCTTTGAATTATTTTTAGTTGAGCTCTCTATATTTTCTTTAGATTTGTTGTTTTTTTCATCTTCATCATTGAGCTGTTTTGTAAGATAATACTACTCAGAATTTTCTATCTACTGTTCTCCTTTTTAAGATAATTACAAAGGAATTTATACTCCAAACTGATTTGCCTTTGGAATTCTGTGGGCTTTAGCAACTTAATTATTGGTCAAAAAGAGGTAACTTAGGAGACTATTGCAACTTTCCAGGTAGTGAGGGTGTTGGCACTGGGCATGGAAAGAAAGGGTACAGATTAAAGAGTTATAGGAGTTGGTAATTAATTGCAAGTGCCAATGAAGGAAAAGGATTTACTGATTATTTGAATGAAGGATTTTGAAGGACTGTGTATGTGTGTGTGTGTGTGTGTGCGCGCGCGCTCGTGCACGTGTTGCGTGTATGTATGTATTGGCAACATTACTGACGTTGGTCAGTCTCACAGGGCATTCCTCCCTAGAGGGTAGATCTATCCAGGAGACCAAATTAAAGAGCATTGTTAAATAACTAGAATTAGAACAAAGAGAGTTGGATATTCTTCAAGTATGTTTCCTCCAGATTCTGGTACAGTGAATTTTTCTTTGGCACTCTAAGGCTATCTGTGACTAAGTAGTCTATGCTGTCTGTGTCCCCTCTTATAGTCAGTAAACATTGACACCTACTCTTGGACTAGCTTTTTCTAGGCTCCAGACACCACCCTTCTGTTAGGAAAACATTATCGTGGGCGTGTTACCATAAAGTGGAAGAAAAAAAAGTGATAATCTATTCAGTCAGTTACATTCCATTCCAATAATACTTTTTCCATGTCTTGATTGAACTTTGAAAACTGATGTTCTTAATTTGTTATCTCTCAGCTTGTAGGGGACCTACAAACCGTATTTACAGTTCAGATTGGTATTTCCTTAAGGGGGGTTAGAGAAAAATTCAATCTCACTTATCTCTTAGAATTACTTATGCTATAATATATGTGTCTATATAATATATATACATATATATATACACAATGAAATAAATGTATAATAGTATACTTAATATAAATCCCAGTCAGGACACACTGCCCAGAATTCAATAACCCCAGATATGCCCTCTATATTAGGGTCTATTAGTAGGTGTGAGCACGTGTGCATGTGCACACACACACACACACACATGTTATTCTATCTTACATTTGGATAGTATTTATGACCTTCTTTCACAGACAATGTTACCTATATTGAGTTAAACAGGACAGTTATATTTATTTCCATTTTACAGATTAGGAATGGATTCTTAGAGGTGAATGTTAGATACCTGGTCTATCTCTACTAAATTTTAAGACCCTTAAAGAAGGGACTATGTGTTAAATTTGGCATTCCTAGAGTTTTAATTTCATTGATATTATCATGTACATTTTTTTATATCTTTTTTTATCCCCACAAAAGGTGGATGGAGCAGGTATGTTGTTATCAACATACAGATGAGGTCACAACACAAAACATTTTAGGGACTTGTCTGAGGCGAATGGCAGGGGTCAGCCCTGATTAAATTGGCTCTGTTACTTAATTGTTGCGTGACCCTGGGCAATTACTTAACCTGAGTACTCAACTATAAATTGTTGTTGTTATAACCTGTCTTTCAGCTCTTTGATTCTATGACTAACATAGATAGTAAAATTATTAGAACTCAGGTTACTTGATTTTCACCTGAGTATTTTCATTATACCAGACTGTTTCTGAGAGAATGATAAGTATATTCATGGTTCGAACACAGGCTTGATCACCAGGTCCCAGAATACTAAAACTTGAAGAAAGTCATTCCTTCTTTATATGCTGAAAGATGATCAAAAAAGCATCACCCAAAATACAAATGTGTAGTCTGTTTTAGGAATACTCTATCATTTTGCATAATCATTCTCTAACAAATTGTAAGGGAAAGTTACGGATGGTCAGGATAGTCAGCTAGTATTTATTAAGCACTCACTATGTGCCAGACACCAAAATACTTTTATAATAATGTATTAGGTACTAAAAAAAGATCAAGTTTCGTATCTTGGCATTCAAGGAACACCCCTGCCCACTCCTTCCCCCACCCCAGAGCAAAAATAGATGAGGCTGTTCTGGACAGTATCAGTATAGACTCATCCTCTTTTCTTGTCTCTACAGAACAATCCGGGTATGGCTGAAACGAGACAGTGGTCAGTACTGGCCCAGCATTTATCACACAATGGCATGTAAGTCAACTTTGTTGTTTGGGGTCTCCCGGTCCTCACAACGCTACAGGATTTGAGTGCTAGTGTCTCAAACGCTAACTAAGGGCTTTGGCATAAAATATGAAATTTCTTGGTTGTTCATTTACCTTTCTTATATACTTTTTAATTGATATCTGTCAAACTTAACTTGAAGCAACTGGAACTTAACTTCCTATTACTGAGCAACACAGTTGTTATAAAAATAGGGTCATTGTGTTTTCACACATTTTACTTAGTGTGTGATAGAATGTTAGAACTGGCAGGAACCATGGAATCGTGTAACACCTCTCCCCCTCTCATTTTATAGATGAGGGAACTCAGGCTCATTGAGGCTAAATCATTTAGTGAGGTTTTCAGAAATTAAAGAGGTTTAGTTGCGAAGTAAAACTTGGGGAATATGTCATTAATCATAGTAGGCCTAGAAGAGCCGATTCTCTTGCACATGCATGCTTTGATAGAAGAGTCCACATAACCTTTTTTTTTGGTGGTGGGGGTGGGGTAGGCGATGGGGTTAAATGACTTGCCCAGGGTCACACAGCTAGTAAGTGTCAAGTGTCTGAGGCTGCATTTGAACTCAGGTCTTCCTGAGTCCAGGGCTGGTACTCTATCTAGTGCACCATCTAGTTGCTCCGCACATAACCTTTTAATGAGGCCGTAAGCACAACTGAAAGTTGTTAGAGTGCTAAATGCTAGTCCTAATAGCGGTTGAATATAAAAAAATCTCCCAATTTGACAGGGCCCTGACAACCTAGGTAGTCAGTGTTGGAAATAGCCAGTCCATAGATGTCAAATGCTTTGTAGTTTTGGTTTTTAATTGAGGGCTCTTTTTGTGTGTGAAAACGTCTTTGTTTTTTGTATTTTTATATTTCGTAAACATAATAGTAGCTAATTCTTATATAAACCTTACTATGTGCCAGGCACTATACTAAGCACTTTACATTTATCTCCTTTGATTTTCCCAACAACACTTGGGAGGTAAGTGCTATTATTATCCCCATTTTACAGTTGGGGAAACTGAGGCAGGTTATGTGACTTGCACAGAATCACATAGCTAGTAAGTATTTGAGGCCAGTTTTGGACTCAGGTCATCCTGACTCTGGGCCTGGCACTCTATCCGCTGACCCACCTGTTCACAGTATTTCCAAGAATGAAGAAGGCTTCCCATATACATAAATGCATTTTTAATAAGAGTTCCTTGCCTGGTTTTAGATCTCGATGCTGATCTTGGTTGTACTGTAGATGTGACTTTAGTTATTGAGTCTTTTTGGGACTCCGTATCATCATGTATAAAAGTAAAGGGTTCGACTGCAAGGCTTGGAGGTCTTGCTCTGAATTTTTATGTTTCAGTTGAGTGTTGAATACTCATCTAAAAAGTTGAGCTCTTGAGGAATTCCAGAGATTATTAGAAAGACAAAGGAAAAATTTAAACAAATTTCAGCAGCGTTTAACCCTAGTCTCCCTTCCAAGCAAACACCTTCTTTCTCTTTTCCACAAACTTCTTTTTTCCATACCTTTATTTTTCATGCGTATGGTATGACATCAGCCATGTAAGCTTTCACAGGGTCCTAGGGTTTAGAACTGAAAGAGACCTCGGCCATCTAGTGCAAACCCCCCGACTTCCCCACCCCCTTTCCCATTTGAATGATGAGGAAACAGGCCAGGGAGACTGTGACTTGCCCAAGGTCACTTCAGTTGTAATAAAGGGTTGAGATTTGGACCTGCATCCTCTGACATTAGATTTATTACTTGTCCCCTGCACTGGAGAGAGGCTACTGAGGTTTTTGCTGCCAGGCTGATTGCCTGTTTTGGTGAGCTGCCCTGCTTTTTATCTCTGTCATATATTATATATTCAGTGAGACTAAACAGTTATTCTTGATAGATGAATTTCTGAAAACAGTACAGAAATAGAGAAGCATATGAACGGCACTTCTAGAAAACGAAATTAAAGCTTGCCCTGCAAAATGGAACTGCCCCTCAGCTTGTCCTACAACTGGACACTTGGCTTCCTGGCTCTTCTGTTTATACAGCAGTAGGACACATATCCACATAACAGTGCAGTTACCCCCTTTGTTTACAGTACAACCACAGAAGCTTTCCTGGCTAGCTCTGAGAAGGTTGGGTGCACCAAAGTCTTCGGAGCTCAGACTGTGTATTGAAAGAACTCTTCTTACAATAGCTCATTCCTCTCCTTCTGGTGGCAGAGGCCCAGGGTATTTGCTGCATCTGCTTTAGAAGGAGCTGACTATGAGCAGTTAATGATTGAGTCAAGTACTCTAGTGGTTATGAAAGTCTTAGAACACCTGCAACCTCTATTTTTGCCTGTTTTGAGGATGTTTCCTGTCACTGACTCGGTGAGCTCTGAATACCATTTCTCATGTTTTTGTGAAGTAGATGTCTCCTTCTCCCCTCATAAAATGTCCTCTGCAAGCCAAGCAGTGATGCACCCTCAGCATTATCTTGATAACTGCTAGAAACATCAGGAATCTGAGGAAGTGGGACCCCTGACCTGGCTACTGTACATATACCTCTTATGGAAAGTGTCCTTAATGCTACTGATTTGTTGGGTTTTGCCCCTTTTCAGGAATCTTAGTCTAATCTCTTTTAGGCCTTAAAGTTGGAATCTATGCTCATTAGAATGACTTAATCTATTTGCTCAGGATCTTACACTTAGGAGTGGAAAGGACCACCAAAATGAGCCCCTGCTTTACACAGGCAAGTATGGGGTGCAGTGGATAGAGTGATGGCCCTGGGCTCGAAAGGCCTTAAGCATAAACCTATTGTAGACACTCACTAGCTGTGTGATCCAGGTCAAGTCACTTAACCTTTGTCAGACTAATATTCTTCAACTTTAAAATGAGGAGAATAACAGTCATTTCTAACTTTCTGAGGAGCAAATGTGGTTAACATACATAAAGTACTTTGCAAATCTTAAAGTGCTCTGTAATATGCTAGTTGTTATTGTTATTATGATTATTGCAGATCATGAAAATCAAATGGCAAAGCAAAGTTCAGACACATACTCCCAAATCCATTACTCCACACTCATTTTTTGCTTGTCTAATGATACCATCACCTTCTATCAAAGACAGCTTTGGAATTAGGTGTGACCTAGGGCACTCAGGCTATAGAACCAGATGGTTAGGTCTTCAAGAACCATCTCTCTTAGTAGATTACTTTGGCTTCCTACTGTAAGGAGAAGATTGGCTTTTCTTCCTGATTTCCTCCTAGTCTAACAGTAATTATTGTAATAGCTAACATTTATATGTAGAATTATGTTCTGCAAAGTGTTTTGTATGCCTTATTCCATTTGATCCTCACAACAACCTTGGAAGGGTTATTATTATCCCCTTTGTACCAAAGGGAAAGGAAGCTTAGTCTCACAGAGGTTAAGTGATTTGCCCAGAGTCACAGTTAGGAAGTATTTAAGCAAGATTTGAACGTAGGTCTCTCCTGACTACCAGTTCAGCACTCTTTCTATCTACCACCACATACATACATACCTGTAGTATAGTAGTTCCTTGCTAGGGATGGAGAGAAGATTAGTCATATTACCAATATTATAAAATAATAATAAGGATCTTCTTAAAAGCAAATCTGACCAGTTCAGTCCCCCTATTCAAATAAATTCTTGTGACTCCTTATCACCTCCAGGATCAAATAGAAAAGCCTTTCTTTGATATTTAAAACCCTTCCTAATCTGGCCCCCTCTATAACAGTATTTGAATGAGCCAACTTCTTTTCTTTTTTCTTTTTGCTTTTTGGTGAGGCAGTCGGGGTTAAGTGACTTGGCTGGGGTCACACAGCTCTTAAGTGTCAAGTGTGTGAGGCTGGATTTGAACTCAGGTCCTCTTGACTCCAAGGCTGTAGCTCTATCCACTGCACCACCTAGCTGCCCCATGAGCCAACTTCTTGATAGATGTTTTAGGATTCTGAGTAGGCTTTTCTTTTTTTAGTGACATGTATTAAAACGAATCTTGAAGAAAAGCTTCATTGCAATATATTTTTTTCTGTTTGTATCACACAACTGCGTGCCTTCTTTAAAAATTACTAAGACATTTAGTTTTCTGAAGTATGTCCACCACATTTCAGAGGAGGAAAACAAGTTTATTACTATTTGAAGTTATTTAATTATTTTTAAGCATTTTCTCATTTGCTTTTAGTTTAGCTGTTTGGGACATATCATATGAAAAATGACTTAAAAATTTAACTCTGTTATTAATGTGGCCTTGGGTTTTTTGGCAGCTCCTTGCTCAACTATGGCATACCATCATGATAGCAGAAGGATATTTGTGGGCCAGGATAATGGAGCCATAATGGTAGGTAGCTTTGGGAATTTAAGAATATTAAATGCATATAAACCACTTGAATTTTGTCTGTATCACAGTTTCTCGTTATTCTGGCCTCTCAGCATTTGTTAGTTTTAGACATTGTAAATGCAAAGTTATCATTATCTAATAGATAATTCTGACTCTGTCAAAAGCATTCTCAATTCATTACAGTGTTATCCCTATTTATGAATGGGTGTGTTCCAAAAGTTTCTCTGTACGAACTTAGAATGCATTTCCCCATAGAAATAATTATAATTTGTAGTTTCCTTGACCTTCCCACAAATGTATTTTGCCCTTAATATACCTGGCACAATATTAGTAGTATGAGCCCTAGAGGCATTGCCTGGGATAGAGGAATGGGTGTGGCCCCAAGGATGAGGAAGGTGGGGACTCTGTAGGCAAGAGATGAGTTTCATGTGAAAGACTCAGGGGACAGAGGCAGGAAGTTGGAACCATAAATCTTTCAGGATTATTTGTCAAAGCCCTTGTTCCTCCATCACAATGAGGATAATACCTCTCCCTGTTTATTTAAGAGGGGTATTAGCTAGTATATAGGCTTTCATATACAGTTACTGAGCAACAAAAAAAAGGAATAGGATAGTGTGTTTGGATTTGCCAGTAGCTGGAAGGAATTTTTACTTTCTCTTATAACCCACTCTCAGGGCCTATGAAATAGCGGTTGTAAAAGCAGTGAAGAGAAAAGATTTGTGTAAGTCAAATTTACAAGTTATCACTTGCCTTTATTATGGCACTGTCTTATATGGAATAATGTACTAAGCATAATGAGGAACCTCTCCCCCCCCATTTTACCAAAAGCAATTACTTTTCCCAAGTTTAATCTTATCAGTGACAGAGGTATAGGTTGTTAAAATATTTGCACTTCCTTTGGAATAAAGATATGATTCTCCTTTGTGTAGGATGTTACAATATTTGCACTTCCTTTGGAATAAAGATATAGTTCTCCTTTGTTGTTTTTCCTTAATTTGGTCCATCAGCAGTTCACACCAGCTGTGCTCTCCAGGCTGTGGAGAATGCAAAGATCAAGCTCATTCAACTAATTGAAAAAAGTTGCTTTCCTTCTTATACTCCTTTGTGGCATTTTCCCTGTTTTTACGGGGACCACCTACCACTTACCACTTAGGGGTGGGAGTGGATAAAGTACTTTGTCAGAAACAACTCTCAGCAGTGTGGTTTGTTTAATTCATCTTGAGCCATTTTAATATAGCCAAAATGGTAGGACAAGTAAGTGATAACTTTTGGGTATAGAAAAGGTGGAAGGAAACCCTCAAAGAAGACTGACTAGCTCTCTACATTTCACTACAGTAAATGTTAATATTATAGATACTTGGTTTTGCCAGTAGACCTGGGATTCTTAACCTTTTTGGTGTTATAAATGCCTTTGGCCATGTGGGAGCCTATGGACCCTTTCTCAGAATAATTTTTTAAGTGCATAAACAAAAATACATAAGGTTATAAAGGTAGCCAGTTATATTGAATTCATTACCAAGATATTAAAAATTTATAAACTTTAGGTTTGAATATTCTGGTCTAAAGTGTTACATATTAGAAATGATAGTTTGAGGCTTTTTTGCTGAAGCATTTTAATTCATAGAGCTGATCCCAAAAATCCTCCATCTTTTCATAGGCTATACTTGCATTTTTTTTTTTTGTTGAAATTTATCATTACCTTAAATGTTTAAAAATATAACTTGTTTATTTGCTATCTTCAATTATAGGAATTTCATGTCTCTGAAGATTTTAATAAGATGAACTTTGTTAAGACCTACCCAGGTAATACCATATGCACAATTATTTGCTTTATCCTTTAAAGCACTAGAGTACTGCTCGTTATCGAAATGAAGTTTTTATGTCACATAGCTTAGTTTTCAGAAGTATTGAGGAGACTGTCAGCCCTCAGAAAAGGTATCTCATACCACCCCTGCCCTCCCCACTCTGCCCAGGGCTTATTGCCAAGTATAATGTATTTATTAGTTATAAGCCTTTAACTTCATTGTCAGCGATCAATGGGGGTGGTCCCATTTTCCGGTTAAAAAAAAATTTTGTATTCCTGGTTTCTTTTACACCTAGGAATTCTAGGCTCATGATAATTTGTATAATATAATATTATATAAAGATTTCAGGTATTTCTTAAAGATAAAGTTGTTTATTTAAGGCAGAAGTTTGGGACAATATGAACCCATATAGTTCTATGTAGGGCCCAGGAGAGCAAGTACATAGTTAATTTTAGACCAAAGCAACACCAGATTTAACCATATGTAGATTGCCCATTCTGAAAGAACATAGTGTTGAGTCATTCAGTCCATGATCCTCATGAATTTTTCAGAGTTCATGCTTATAGTTAATAAATTTAGAGTTTAAACTTTTACTTTGACCACATAATTACTTTTCTATATGAATTGACATAGTTATGGAATCTGGAAAGATGTTTCTGTAAAATAAGGCCAAATTGCCTTTCCCAGGGCAGCTGGGAATCTGGGCTATATTTAAAATAGGAAGATGACGTAATAATGGTGGAATAATGTTAATTTGGAGGATGTCAGTGGTACAAGCTGTTTTTTCATTTGACCAAAGTGATGTAATAATGCTTTTTCAGTTTTGGGTAAATGGACAAACTTTATAACTAACTTGTTAGCTGCCTCAGTTACCATTTGTGCAAATTACCTTTTGAAAGGATCTAGAAAAATGCTTCCTGCTTTCTTCCAACATTTTGTCTTCTGGAAATGTGTCTCATGATAATGAGATGACTTTATCTGTATTTTGATTATTATACTTGAACATCTGTTTTGCTCATTGCATTTTTCCTCCTCAGTATCTGAGGTGATGTTGCCTTGTTTACAAAATTAATAACAATATTACCTTTTACCTTTTTCGGGAGATTTCATTCACTTCTTTGAAGTGAATATAATTTTTTTAAAGATAGATCTGACATACTGAAGTTAATAAATTAACCCAGGATTTTCCTGTGTGGTCTATGCATCTAAAAATAATGTTAAAGGTTTTTTCTGGCTATCATTTGCTATCATCATTAACTATATTTCTGAGTTCATTCAATAAGTGTTTATCAAGTACTTACTATATATATACCACTGTACCAAATTCCATGATAGTTGTCTAGGAAGAGTTCTTGTGGATCTAAGGGTAATAAGCAGGTTAGAAGCCATTTTAAAAGAATATACAGGATACCCTTCACATTCTGAGGCATTATTTCAAAATAAAAAATGTTAGAACTATTGCACTTACTCAATGGTATGTGCAAAGGGATTGCTCTTGCAGTAGAGTATCTGAGTTCTCTTTTCTCCATTGCTCTTTTCTTCCATTTATAGCAAAGGTGCTCATATTTCTTTAATATTTTATAGATTCTGATTGTCTTTGACCAAGGAGAGCTGCTTAATATCCCTGTTCAGGAAAAGAATGTGGATGAGACTGCTTCTTAGATCAGAAGGCAGTTGAACCCATGATGTGTTGGCAAACCTTGAAATGTTTGAAACCTACAAATATTCAAAAACAGGAATGTAGAATTTGGAGGGCTTCCTGGATTCTAAGTGCTAAGGAGTATGAAACAAGAGGAAGTGATCAGTGAAAGCTGAGGTTATTTGCTGTCTCCATGAACCTTTGCCCTTTAAGTCTATTTGGGCAGAATGTCAATTTAATATTGGTTGAGAAGTTAAGCCTCCTTTTCTAATAGTAAGTGGTGGGTTATTTCTGGTGATAGTATTTCTAACCAAAATAAGCACATTTTTTCTTTCTAATCCAATAGCTCATCAGAACCGGGTATCTGCAGTTATCTTCTGCTTGGGGGCAGAATGGGTTATCAGCACAGGTCATGACAAGTGTGTCAGCTGGATGTGTACCAGGAGTGGGAATATGCTTGGGAGACACTACTTCACTTCTTGGGCTTCATGCTTACAGTATCCTTTAAAAATATTCTAATTCCCTTATTGGAAAGATGAACTTTCCAATAAATAATTTTGAAAGCCTGTGTATAACCAATTCAGAACCAATACTGAGAAATATATTTATATTATGTAACATATAAATATATTTCTGAGTATTGGTTTTGAATTCTGGCCACTAAATAGTGAATAAATTTTTAAGTCATTGAATAATTCCTATACATTTTCTATTTGCACTGGCAACTTTGCAGATTTTTTTCTTCATTAAAAATCAGTTGAACCTTGCCTTTTCTTTTTTCTTCTTCTTCTTCTTTTTTTTTTTTTTGTGCTAGGCATTTGGGGTTAAGTGACTTGCCGAGGGTCACACAGCTAGTAAGTATCATGTGTTACGTGTCTGAAATCGGATTTGAACTTAGGTCCTCCTGACTCTAAGGCCAGAGCTCTATCCACCGCACCACCTACCTGCCCCTGATCTTGCCTTTTCTTATAATAGTGTCATATCACAGCTTTTCTTGATCCCTCTTAATCCCAGTGCCTACCCTGTATTGATTATCTCCAGTTTATTCTATATAGGTCTTGTTTGTACGTAGCTGTTTGCATATTGTTTCCCTCATTAGAGTTCCTTAAGAGCAGTGATTGCTTTTTCCTTTTTTTGTATCCCCACTGTTTAACACAACACTTAGAACATATTGAGCATTATTAGTCACTTAATAAATGCTTATTGATCGACTGAACAGGGGATGATGTACATAACTGATTATGATAGTGTAAAGAGTGAGAGATAAATAAAGAAAGGGCTAGACCAGAGGTTCCCAAACTTTTTTGGCCTACTTTCCCCTTTTAAAAAAAAAAATTTACTCAGCACCCCCCTGGAAATCTACTTTCTTTAATTTTTTTTTTGAAATGTGCATTATTTCAAAAAAATAGAAAATATTCTTCTTTAAAAATGATCTCTTAAATTTAATAATTTATTGTAAATTTTTGGATTTTTTTCCTGTGCTGAAATTTTGATGGCATAATATTCTATTATGTAACCATGTAGTAGTATTGTATTATAAACGAGTCATTACACACACTTATTCCTGTCTATGCATGCTGGACTTCCCGCCAATATGGGACATGATCACCTGTCAACATTTGCTTGTTAACACCTGTCGGGCGGCAGACTTAACCACTGATTGGTTATAACTTGCGTTTTGTGTGTTTATTTGGAAAATCATGTAATCACTATGATTTTAACTCTGTTACACAACAGACAAAACACGTACAAATGATTTTTCAAAATTTTCTTATCTTCTCTTTTTCCTTTTGCTTCCACCGCCCCCCTGAAACATTCTAGTGCCCCCCAAGGTGAGGTATCGCCCACTTTGGGAACTTCTGGTCTAGGCAAAGAGTTCTGAGAAATTTGAGAAAGAAGACTTTTGCCCTGGGTGGGATGTGGGGGTGGGTCCGGGAAGTTTTCATTTAGATGGTGCTCTTGAATTGGGTCTTGAACAGAGGGAGGGGTTTTAATACATAAGGACCAGGGCAAAGAACTAATTCTCTTCCTGGGGTAAGTTTGTAAGCAAAGGTGCACCCACGCAGGAGAGAGCTGCAGGAGACTTAGACTCAGAAACTTGAGCATAATTTTAGTCTTGTATACACCTTCTATTCATATTTTCTTCTGCATAGCTTTAAGACCGAAGCTGGTAGTGGTGTGTTTTTAAAGAAGTACTTTGAGAATAGTTATTCATTACTTATCCTTGACTAATTCTATTCAGATATGACTTTGACACTCAACATGCCTTTGTTGGAGACTATTCTGGGCAGATCACACTGCTGAAGCTTGAACAGAACACCTCTTCAATTATTACAACCCTTAAAGGGCATGAAGGTAAATTGTTTTCACACAGACTTTTCCGCCTTGTTTCAGAACCCACATTCTGGCCTTTCTAACAGAGTAATTAGTTCCTGATGACTAATTATAAATTTGAACTTTTGGCTAGGCCAGCACAAGCCTCCTTAACCTGGGGTCTGTGAACTTCTTTTTTTAAAAAAATTTTTGGTGGCAGTATTTCAACATAATTGATTTCCTTTGTAATCTAATGCATTTTGTTGTGTACACTGAAAAACATAATTCTGAGAAGGGATTCATATGTTTCCCCAGACTGCCCAAGGGGACCCTGATACAAAAAGCGTTAAGAACCATTGAGCTAAGGGTATAGATTCCAAAGGATGAATTGGGATTGAATGAGGATGCTTCCTCTTCTTAAATATATTTTTAAATTATCCTCTTTTCTTACAATGACATTACTTATTTTTAATCAAATTTTTTTCAAAAACACTTTGTAAAATTCTTGCAAAGAAAGGTAAAACTTTTTGAGGAATTGTTTTTTAATTTGTTTTTTCAGGATTCAGGTCAGCAAGGAAGATGGGGCTGTGTATTATACTGTGTATGTTGAACAAATCTCAGGGACTAGAGCTACCTAGTGGGTATGGAATTTCTACAAAGATGTGGCATTTGAAAATTTCTTTAATGTGGTATGAGCTTCCTGCATTATGGCAGGCCTTTGTGGCAGGGCTCTAAATTCCTTTAGTTGGATTTGAGATTGCTTAATGAAAAAATTTATAGTAAAGAGTTTCCTTTGATGTCGAACTATCCCTTCATGCAGTTAAAAAAACGAAAACAAAAACAAACCCCCAAAATATGATTTTTATAGGAGCTTTAAGTTAGAAATTTTGTAGCCATCTGTTTGAATTTTAGGAAATTTAGGGTTTCTGGGGAAAGAATCAACAGCTTTTAAAAAAAAATGAATATTATTCTTGGGGACTGTGTTTTTGCCTTTCTTTGTATCCTCAGTGCTTAGCACAGTCCTTGGCACATACTAAATGCTTAAAAGATGTTTGTTGGCTGACTAACTGCATCTTTCCTGACCAATTTGCTCCTGAGAGAAGGGAGTTGGGGGGGGGGTTGGGGTGGGGATTGGAAACATACATGCAAAAGAAAGAAATTGCTGAGGGAAAGAAGGACTGGGGGGAAGTGATACCATTAATGTGGGGTGTGGGATTTGGCCGAACCAGGCTGTACTGCTATTGGCTGTGACTAGTTCTCTTCTGACTCTTCTTTTTCCCATTTGGGCCACTTAGAGCAGTGTGACTTCCATTATTGTTTCGTGGTGGCTGTGATGAAAAACTCAGGGGTCACAACTGCTAAGGCTCTCTGTCAAAAGGGCAGGACAGTGACTGAAGGAGGCCCAAAGCTGATGTGAAATTAACGACTGTAGCTCGGTTTTCAGATTTATTCTTTTCCTTCTTTTGTTGGGATGAGTCGAAGAAAATGAATGTAGAAGGCTCCTTTTACTATTTACCTTTTCATTGTGAGAAAATACAGGAAATTTTACAGAAACAATTTTCTTTTAGGCAGTTAGGGTTAAGTGACTTGCCCAGGGTCACACAGCTAGTGTCAAGTGTTTGGTCTGAGGCTGGATTTGAACTCAGGTCTTCCTGACTTCAGGGCCGGTGCTCTATTCACTGCACCACCTAGCTGCCCCAGAAACAATGTTTTTTAAAAGACAAGACAACATTGCTTCAAACCAAGAATGCACCACCAAATTAGGTTAAGTCAGGCAATATCAAGCAGAATTAGGTATAAGAGTTTAGATCTTGCAGCTGAGCTTTTTGTATAGTTTGCAGTAGTCTGGCATATTGAATTAGCACAGTCTAACCAGTCTGATAACTGCAGAGAACACTGAACTGAGTCCTATGTCAAATCTCTTCTTGATTAGCTTTGCTAATTTTGCGCAAGCCACTTCACCTACATTGGCTTCAGTTTCCTTTTTTTTTTTTCCCTAAAGTGATGATTCTATGATTTGGTAATCACTCAGGGCCTTCCCAAGCCTAAGTCAATTTTTTTTGTGAAACACCTAGTTAGAAATGAAATTAAACATGCTCACTTTCAAGAAGAACTCTCCTCCTGGACTTGGAGAAATTTAATAACTTAGGCTCATAGCTATCCTACAAAAAATGAAAGAAAACTTTTTTCTGATTTATTAAATGCTAGAGTACTTTTGTTCTCCAAAGCCAACAGGTTCATCAGCTTCCAAGTCATTCTGTAGTGTGCAGTTTTTGCTGCCTTATTTTTTTTGGTTAAGCACAGGGAAAGTATTTTTAAATATTCATATTGTATTCATAGAATTCAGTAGGTAGCTGGCCCAGCCAACTGCTGCTCATTCCATTTATTGTGATCCTCCATCTCCTGTCTTGTAACTCATGAGAAGGTGGCTCAGAAACCTGCACCCAGTGGGAGCTTCGTTTTTGTCGTGTGGCTTAGCTGTCCAGGTAAGACTGAATGCACATGCTTATCTATATGCCCTCAGGCAGCGTTGCTTCACTGTGGTGGGATCCTATTCAGCGGTTACTCTTCTCAGGAGCATCTGACAACAGCATCATCATGTGGGACATCGGGGGAAGAAAAGGCCGGATGCTGCTGCTTCAGGGCCATCAGTAGGTGACCTCATTGTTTTCATCTCTGAAGGAAAGTTTGGGGCTCCATGTATTTTTCCAAGAAACGTGTACTAGTGGAATGACATGCAACTGCATGCCCTTTTCCAATCATTCAACAGACATTTATTAAGTATCTGCTGTGTACTGAGTACCATAGTCTCTGCCCTCAGAAAGTTCATTTTTAAAAAACTTTTGTTGTCAAGTAAAGCAGTCTTCAGTTTCTGCTGCTTGTTTTGTTCAGTGCTGCTTTCCCTTTTTCCTTTCTCTCCTTTTTAAAGTTTTATTGGTGTCTTTTGTTTTTATATCACTTCATTTCCCCATGTATCTCTCCTTCATTGAGAGAGATACCCCTTATAATTAAGAATAAAAAAGGAGGAGGAAAGGGGCTATTCAGCAAACTTAAGAAGCACCATTTAGGTCTTATAGGAGGTGTTATAGCCCTCTCACCTCTGCCAGAAGGGAAGGAGATACCTTCTTCTGTTTCTCATTCAGGGCCAAATGGAGTCATTAGAGTTTTACAGTATTCAGTTCCAATTTTTGTTGTAGTTCTTTCTGTTTACATTGTAGTCATTGTGTGTTTTGTTTTCCTGCTTCTGCTTACTTCAGTTTGGATCAGTTCGTGTAAGTCTTCCTATGCTTTCCTTTATTCTTTTGTTATCGTTGTTTTTCTTTGATGTTGTTTGTTTTCAAAAGTGGACTTGTGATTTCATTTGGCATAGGGAGTTTCTGGTGAGAAACTCCTTCTACAGATGCAGTGTGGCACTCACTGTGCAGCTTTCAGAGCAGCTTGGCGGTACTGAAAGGGTTAAATAGCATACACAAGATAGGGTGTGTTAAAGGCAAGACTTGACCCCAGGTTCTCCTGACTCCAAGGCCAGTTCTCTCTCAGCTGGGCTACAGTGCCCTATTCCCTGTAATCTTCATATTAATCATTTCTTAGGTTATTGCTTTATTTCAAATAAAAACTCTGGTGTTTCTGAGAAAACAAATCCTTGTAACAAATATAAATGTCATGATTAGATCTTTTTTTTTTTTTTTTTTTTTTTGCTTTTTGGTGAGGCAATCGTAGTTAAGTGACTTGCCCAGGGTCATACAGCTAGTAAGTGTTCAGTGTCTGAGGCCAGATTTGCAGGGCCGGTACTCTATCCACTGTGCCATCTACCTGCTTCCATGATTGTATCCTGATGGCATGCCAAGGTGTCCCTTTGAAGTTCCCTTGAATCTCCTAAAATGCTTCAAGTCCTTTTATAACACAATTGGTTTTATCTGTGGGGTTCTTTGTTTTTGGTTTCCTATATAATTGATGACTCAAACTTAGTAATAACTTCAATCTAAGGTTAATGAAGTAGTTGTTACCAGTCAGCAAATTTTTTATTCTGTGCCAGGCATTGCCCTAAACACTGAAGAGACTATTACAAATATGAAACAGACCTACTCTCTAATGACTTACATTCTAATGGAAATGAGACAGCATACGCATGTATAAATGAATGCAGAATATATACAAAATAGATACCAGGGAGTATTGGGAGAGAGAGAGGGTGCTAGCAGCTTGTCTGGGTCATGAGGAAGGGTGTCGCATAGAAGGTGGCATGTCAACTGAGTCTTGAAAAAAACCAGAGATTCCAAGAAGTCGAGATGAGGAGGGAATGAATTCCTAGCATGGGGGACAGCCAGAGAAGTGAGAGATGGGAGTGTTGTGTGTGTACAACAGCGAGAAGGCCAGTCTGGCTGGGGAGCTTTGTGTGTGACGTAGTAATGGTTGAGAAGACTGGAAAGGTAGGCAGGGACTGGGCTGTGAAAACCTTTAAATTCCAAAAGGAGAGGTTTATATTTGCTCCTAGCGGAGGCTGAGTTAGGGGCATTATTTCAGTAATCCAGGCCAGAGGTAATGATGGCCCTAACCAGGGTTGTGAATATGGAAGTGGAGAGAGGTCATGCAGATAGAAATGACAGGATTTGGCAACTGATTGGATGGTGGAGATGGCAATTGAACCCATGTGTGCTGATGAGATTGTCACAGGAGAGTATCTAGAGAGAAGAGGGCCTAAGAGGGAGCCTTAGGGTCAACCCACACTTGGTGAGCAAAGCATGGATGATGAATTGATAGAGGAGACTAAGCAGGAGTGGTCATACAAGGAGGAGGAGAGCTAGGCAAGAGCATGAAAATACAGGGAGGTGAGAGGATTCTGGAGAACGGAGTGGTCAATAGTTTTGATGTTGCAGATGGTCATGAAGGATTAGGACCGGGAAGAGATCATTCACTTGTCAGTTGAGAGAACTGGTAACTTTGGAAAGAGCAATTTCAATTGAGTGATGAAGTCAGGAACCAGATTTCAGGGGAAATAAGGAGAGAGTGAGAAAAGAGGAAGGGGAAACGCTGAGTATCAAAGAACAAAAGAACAGGAGAAACGCTTTCTTGACCAAAGGCCTGGTGTAGGGAAGAGGGCAGTGGGATGAGAGGTGGGAGCCCTTGGCTGTCAGCCTAGTTCTGTCTTTTATTAGCTCTGGTACCGTAGGAGCTTGTGTCCCTTTCTGGACGCTTCCTCTCTAAAATGAGGAGTGACCCAGCTCTAAAATGTGATGATTCCAATTCTAGAGTTCTTTGACATGGGAGGAATTCTTAGCCTTGCCAGGGGGGCTTTTCCTGTGAGTTTTGAGGAATGATTGATGGTTTTTTTTTCTTTCCCCTTTTTCCATCTTCCCAGCACCGAACAGGAGAAATGAAGCCTATTGTTCACTGTACTAGATACTCCTATCTGTAGTTTCTGTTAGAATATTGAAAAGGAAAAAAAAAGTTCATCCTCACCCTCCAGGCACTCCCATTTCTTTTTTTCATCTAAGCCTTTGTGATTGGAGTTACTCTAGCCAGAAGAATTTTTTTCTCCACATTAAGTATTTCAGTAATACACATTTTGGAAAACCATGGTGCCTAAATCAGAGAATCTTGAAACTCATCCCATCTTCTCAAGTGAAAATATTTAGCCGCTTTTCTATTTTAAAATAATTTTTATTTTTATTATTTTGAATTTTTTTCTTTTTTTTTCTTTTGAATTTATTAAACAACAGTTTGCTTGAGCATCTCTGCATTCAAAAGAACAGAAGAAAGGGTGTATATAGCTGAGAAGCTCTATCATGAATAGCCTGACCCTCTTTTTCTTTAACAATGTGATAAACATGTAAATTCCAGAGCTGTCCTGCTTGTTTGTATCTGCCTCTGTACCTCCTTCTGTTCTTTTGTGTGTATGTTATTAATGCTTCATCACATTCTCTCGACCAATTCCCTTCCCCCCGTTTGAAAAACAGCCGTAATACTTCCCTTGTATCCAATAATTCCTGTCACACAAAACAAATTCACACATTGGCCATGTCTGAAAAATGTATATCACACTTTGCCTCTCAAGTCTGTTACCTCTGTGGCAGGAGGTGGGTAGCAAACCTTTGTTGTTGGCCTTCTGGAAGCACAAATGGTTATTGCATTGATCAGACTTTCAGAGTCTTTCAGAGTAGTTTTTGTTTACTGTGTTGTAGTCGTATAAAGTGGCCTCCTGGGTCTGCTCACTTCACTCTGCATCAGTTCTTACAAGTCTTAGGTTTCTTTGAAGCCTTCTCTTTTGTTGTTTTTATGTTCCCGTACCATTATTTGCTTAACTATTACCCAATTAACAGTTCTCCCATATTTTCCAGTTTTTGCTACTGTCAAATATATTTATACATAGGAGACTTTTCCCTTTTTCTTTGAATTCTCTGGAGTAGAAGACTAGCTTTGTTTTCACTAAGTCAAGGGAATGAGCAATTTTTAGCTACTGATTTTCAAAATTCAAGTCAGTAAACATTTGTCAGATATCTCCTGTGTGCTAGGCAGGTGCCGGGGATACAAAGGCAAACATGAGGTCATCTGTGCCCTCATTTTGCAGGGTAGGATCACTGGTCTCCAAAGCTCTCTTCTGAGAACAGTTTGTGCCACTCCAGATGAGGTCTCTTCTAGACCATGTGTTGTGATGTCGAGATTCAGGGTTCTGAAGGGCAGAGTCTCAAGCCTGCCTGGGGCAGCACCTTGTCTTTCCCTGTTGAGAAAGGGGTCTGTTGTCTGTTTTGTTCACAGTGACCGGGTGCAATCTCTTTGTTACCTTGCACTTACGAGACAGCTGGTTTCTTGTTCATCTGATGGGGGAATCGCTGTCTGGAACATGGATGTCCAAAGAGAAGAGGTAAGAGGGGAGCTGTGCGGAGGCTGTGGGGCCTCTGTCTTGGGGCCACTTCTCACTATTGTTGCCCCTCTGGTTCTGTAAAGTTGCTCTTGTGGTCGGGCCTAAGAGTCCTCTCCTTTCCTCATTCTGCTCGTTCCCCAGGGCCTGGGAAGCTTGGACAGTTCACTTTGTGCTGCCTCACTTTCCCCTTCCTTACTGAACTCTTCACTATTTTCTGACAAAGATGTTGAACACATTCGAAAAATAGCAAATAGAACAGGATGTCTCAGTAATAATAATAATAATGATAGTAAAATCACAAGAGCAATTACATAGCGCTTTAAAGTTTGCAAAGTGCTTTATACATGTCTCATTTTGTCTTCACAACAACCCAGGGTGGAGAGGTTGGTCCTTTTATCCTTATTTTACAGATGAGTAAACTGAAGCTGAGAGATAAAGTGACTTGACCAGGGTCACACAGCTAGTCAGTGTCTAAATCTCAGTTCTGTACCTGATTTGTGCCATTCTGCATGAATTAATTGTTCATGACTCTTAGGAGTTCGGAAGTGGAAATGAAAGTGAGCAAATTGAACAAAAACATCTTATAAAAGAATTGGCTTTAGACTCAGTCACCTCCTGTCTGTGATTCTTGTCTGTTGTGATCCGTTTTTTTTTTTTTTTAAACAGTTGGCTAAAAATATATAGGAAAAATAGGCAACCTATGGTTAGTAAGTGTCTGGCCTTAAAGGGGAATTTCTGTCTTACTTGAGGAGCCAGGCTAGACAGAGGATTACTTGGGTCACACTTCCATAACTAGTTTGCTTTTTAACTTCCTTGGGAAAGCTTTGGGAGCTCATTTTACCTACTGATTTGCTCTCTCTCTACTGGAGGATTGAAAGAAAATCTGTTACTGTACCATTTTTGAATTAGAGACAATGCTCTTGAAAATAAACACTTTATTCAGGAGGAGGATGCATGCAGTAGAATGTGAGCACCAGTCTCTCATTTTTGTTGAGATCAGGATAAGGAAAAGGAGGTAGGTTATAGAAGACAGTCTGCTGATGAAATGTTGGATTAATGACCTTTGTGGCTGTTCTTAGAGGACAAGATGCCGGAGGTTGTATGACATAACATAGCACAGAAATAAAACTTTCTATGACTATGGAGGATTAAAATACAAGACAGCCCAAAATAGCTGTCACTTTAGTGTTCACTATTCTTCCCAAGTGTTAAAAGAAGCAAGTTTACTGCTCTTAAACTGCTCAAAGAAATCATTCTTTTCTGATCTCTTGTGTTTTTCTTACTGGCCGTCTTAGGTCATTTTAAGTATGCTTCTAGTTCTTTTTTGACATGTGATACTGAACATAGTGAGTGGTTAACACCATCTTGGTGGTTTTATTGAGAGCATTCTTCATGAGCATTGGAATAGGAGATGACCAAGTGCCCTAAAGAATGACATTTTCTGTTTCCTTCGGATATGTGATAAAAATCCACTGCCATTCCTTTATTTGCCTCTTCAAAGAGAAACTAGGCACTGCTCTTCCCATTTAGCTGTAATTTTCTTGTTTTCTTATTTCATTTATTATTATTATTTTTATTATTATCAATTATTACCTAGTTAGAGCAATGATTTAAATCAATACCAAATTAGAGAATAAACATAAAAAGATATGGTTTGCAAATGTGATAGGATCTTGGTCAAAGAGGGATTCCCTATGAGTAATAAATCATTCAAATGTTCCTGCTTGTGGATAACATTGTATGGGTTGTATCAAGCTCTGTAGCATGGCAGAGCTTCCTGGAAGAAATCCATAATCACTCAGAAGGTTTGTAGCCTAGGCACACAGGGAAGTGGATGAAAAATGTCTGTTGCCCAGATTTCAACATGTATTTGCATAGACACCCTATAGAACTTGCACATCAATATGTGTGTCTGGGACAGGCAGCACAGATGAACAGTGAGTTAGGCCCAGATTTGAAGACGAAGAGGAAGTTGGGATAGATTACTTCGGGAGATTGCAAAGCTCTGTTACTGATCCAAGCTTTTCATGAAAGCAAAGACCATTCTCTTTTTCATTACTGACAGCTCACTGATATTGCAGTTTGGCAGTGGGATAGGAATATAACTGCTTCTGAAGAATTAAAAAGTATCACATGGAGGAGGGGCAGTTGAGAGGCTCATGGTGAATATGAGTAGACTGCAACATATACTAGATGAGGAATGGACAAGATTACCTGGCAAGGAGGGGAGATGACACATGAACAGCTTACCAGTGGAGCAGTGTCAAGAGAAAGTGAGAAAGGTCCCCAGCATATTGGGATATGGAAAAGAGTTGCACGAGTTGGGATGACATAGATGGATTTCCTTTTTCCTTGTTGGAGAGAACTCCCAAGTCAGTGGGATCACAGATCCATTTGATCTGTTTGGTCAGTTCAGGTCACTGGTAATATAAGCATTTTCTAATCTATTGTAGGTTTGGGACATCATAGGGCTGGTGAGTGGGGCTGTAGGGGAATCAGTTAACACACCGTTTCCAGAAGTCATGGTATTAATATATAATGTCACAATTGAATCTCAGATATGAGAAGGTAAAACAATTAGCATTTTCTCTTCTTGCTTTATTAACATCTTATAAGTTTCATTTCTCATCGAGCAGTCAAACTGAAAAATTTAGATAAGTTTGTGTGTTTTTCCTGTCCAGGCTCCTCAATGGTTAGAAAGCGATTCTTGTCAAAAATGTGAACAACCCTTCTTTTGGAACATAAAGCAGATGTGGGACACAAAGACACTGGGGTTAAGACAGGTAAGAGGCCAACTTCAAATCTTTACCGATGCTTTTGCTGCTGTTTGTTGCCTTGTTTTTCTTAATTACATTGTGATTGTGTGTTGAACCTCACTTTGTTGAGTTCATCTGTTTTTAATGGTCACTGCCGCTTGGTGTCCATCCAGGAAAGACTGGTTCAATTCAGCAAATATTTAAGTAGGTACTTTAAGAATTTGGTACCTTAATATGTAAGGCAGTGATCTTGCACTCAGAAAGGTACCAAACTCCGTAATTGCTTGTCTTCTAAAAACAAAAATATTCAGAAACTCAGACGCTGTGATCACGAGTGAAGTGGAAGATCTTCGTGGAGAAGAGTTATTCGTGGGATGATCACAGGTCATAGGTTTAGAGCTGTGAGGGCACTTGGAGGCCATTGTGTCCAACCCCTCTTATTTTACAGAGAAGTTATGTGATCTGCCGAGGGTCACACAGGTCACAGAAGCCAGTTTTGAACTTCATTCTTATTTCTCCAAATCTAAAGCTTTTCCCATAGTATCATGGTCTTTAAGAGTAACTCTATTCTCCATATGAAATATATATATAATATTATATATGATATAAATATATATATTGCTGAATATGTAAGATGTTAGAATATAAGATAAATATTTAAGATTCTTCTGAATTTTTCCACACACTTAACCCTACAGCATTTTCAAGACACATGATTCAAGTAACAGACCAATTTGATTTAAAATTAAGGATTAAAGAAATAGCTTATACTTCATATAAAATTAAAAAAAGATTCTTAGAATTAGGTATTTATGTACTACTAAAGTTCTGAAAAAATATATTTCTACAGCAGCTTTGAAAATAGCTACTCACTCAGGGCGATTATGAATTTTGCTGGTTAGTAGAATAGAATGTCGACTCAAATGACCAATATACCTCCATGAGAAGCTGGCTCAAAGTTTGTGTGAATTGGCAAATTACTTTTTGGTGTTCCTTACAAGGCTACTCCAGAGTGAAGTGATATTTTAAGATTAGCAGACAATTCAGGAAATACTTACATATGTGTAACATTCTAATGCACCAAGATAGTGCAGTCTCTTTAGCATTCTGTTACTAGCCTCTGTATTCTTACTGTTTGCCCAGCAGTGCTTTTGATCAGTGCATTGTAGTTAATAGGTAAAGTAACTCCTATTTCTAATGGAAAATACTGAAATTTTACTGTGCTTTTCGGAGCTAACAACTAATATGTGTAGAGAGTGGAAGTGTCCAGTCATCACCTCAAAGGGGTTCTGGGAAGAGTAAGTCATTATAACAAGAATCCAGTGATTGACAGTGGAGTTTACTTGAATCTCATATCTTCTTATGTAAATTTGAAAGATTAAAAATTGAGAACCTATGATTTTTTTTGGTACCAGTATATTAATCAAGAAATATTTCATCAAAACCATTCTTTAAGGACTTTTTTTTTTCTTTTCTGGTGTTCTGATTGTTCTTTCTAAAAATGTTTGTGTATTATTTGGTCTCACCCATATATACTTTCTTAACTTTAAACCTAGCTAATCCCTTGTTACTTGCTAAAAAAAGTAATACAGAAGAAAAAAAAAATTGGAGTCAAGCATTACAAGGCAATTTGCAAATTATTATTCCAGGGTAGGAATGGTCTAATGTTTAAAGCACATTTGATTCTTAGATTTTATGTAATATAAATGTAAAGGTACATGTATAAAAACACAAAATCTCAGCTTTCATTTTTTTTTTTTTTTTTTTCATAAAAAAGCATCACTGTAGGAAGTGTGGGCAAGCAGTGTGTGGAAAGTGCAGCACCAGGCGCTCTACGTACCCAGTCATGGGCTTCGAGTTCCAGGTCCGCATGTGCGACTCTTGCTATGACTCCATCAAAGATGAAGAGTAAGGAGCTTTCATATCTTGGCCTTGTTTTCCAATGAAAATGTGAGAAGCAAGATGCATTTCTTACCAAAAGGTCTACTTGAAGAAATTCTTTTCAACTTTAAAAAATTCATTTGTCAACAATGACAGACAACTCCAAACTCGAAGAATAGAAAAGAGGACTGTAAACATCTGTATAAACTTCTATGCTTTTATTTTTCCTTAGAAAAATTAAATTACATGCACACAGATATATACAAATATGTGTATACACATATAATACACATATATTATGATACACACACGCACATACATACATAGATATATGAATATATCCAAGCAGCATCATTACTCCTTTTTATACAGCTTTTACAATGCTTTATTGATACTCTCCGTTACTTATTTCTAAAGATGTATGTGGTCATTCTCACCTTGGATAAGCAGAAGCTCTTTTATTAGATAGTTTAGGTGCCGTAGTGGATACATTGTTGGACTGGGAGTCAGCAAGGTCTGAGTTTGAATCCTGACACACATTTACTAACTTTGTGATTCTGGACAAATGATGTGACCCCTCAGAATATCACTTTCTTCATCTGTTAAACAAGGAGGGGTAGGGTCCCTTTCAAATCTAAATCTATGATCCTTTGAGCTTCATGACCTAGCACAATCTCTATCTCCACCTAGTGGTTTCTAGGCTACAGTGAAGGGTCTGCAATAGCCATGTATTGATTGTGGCTGATCTAAGTCATTTCATTCTTTTCTTCTGTTATATTTGTGTCGATTTTGTAGTTATGAAAACTTTGTAGCGTAAACATTCTTGTACAGAAGCAAAGTTAGTCCAGGAGTTTCTTTCTTTTTTTTTTTTTTCCTGAAGTTTATTTCTAAATGCCTGCCCATGATCCTGTTACAGTTCTGGGCTAGAAAACATATTCTAACTGGAGTTCTACTTCAGTTTTGTTTTGTGATTTAGAATAATGAGATAACTATCTTCTGGATTACTTGACCTTTTTATCAGCTTGCTACTTAAAATAATGATATTGTAATATTAGCAACTTCAGATTTTTCTTCTGCTCATGGTTCAGAATTCATTCATTAAACAAATATTTACCACATACCTACCGTGTGAAAATCATAGTACCAGGAGCTTACAGAAATAGATAAATAAGATACAACTCCTGCACTGTAGAAACTTAGATTCATATAGTAATTATCAGATCATCAATGCTTTGAGGAGTTCAGGACATCTAGCAAAGGGGGGGCGTCTCCGCTCTATGAAGTCCTTTTGTTGGGGTTCTCTAGCTTTGGTGTAGCCCTTCTGTTGGACTGTTTGTACAGCCTCCTATCTACGCATTGCAGACACTGCGGTCAGCCCCTCCATTTTAAGGGAAGTGGTTAGGATGCTGAAGGAATAGCTCCAATCCTTTGAAGTTAATAAGGCTCCTTTGGTTAAAAGGGATAGGATGAAGGCCACCCACTCTTTTCTCCGCTAACTCCCAATCAGTTCTTTCTCAGGTTGCTCTCTCACCTAACATCCCTAGATGGCTTGAATCTCCTCTAAGCTATTAGATGCTCAGATCTCTGATTCCAGCTAGCTCAAAGGGCATGATCAAGGCCAATCTAAACATTTCCTGTTGCATATCAAGGCGTAGCATCTTGGGATGGGATGATATGATATGATTGATTTAATTTAGTTGTTCCCCTCTTAGTCTGACACTCTTATAGAATTTTAAAGAATAGATAGGATTTAATATGCATTATCTGCTGTGATACAACAGTTCTTTTTTTATAAGTGTTGAGTATTATTCCTACTTTACTGATGAGGGAGCTGAGTCTAAGAGAGGCTAAGTGATTTGCCCTGAGTCAAAAAACTAATAAGTGTCAAAGGCAGGATTTGAATTCAGATGTTCCGTACTCTAAATCTAGCATTTTATCTATTATGTCTCACAATACCTCATACTTAGAGCCCATGAAAACTTTTAGGATTAAACTTAGGAGGCCTTCTTTCATGTGACTGTGCTCCCTCATGCTTTAACTTTCATAGTTTCTCTTTTGCCTTAAATATTCTTACACTTGTGAGAATTTTTTAAATATCTAGGAATATGTGTTCACTCTCCCTGTGATGAAATAAAAATAAAATGTGAGAATTCTTTAATCTGTTACAAAAGCCTTGCTTTTGTCTTGCCTTTTAGTTGTGGCCTTTAATCATGAAACAATTTTTAGAGCTGTCCAGATGTAGAAATAACACTAAATTCTGACGACAGTTTGCCAAATGAATTTCAAATCTAATGTTTTCTCTTTACTAGTCGCACTTCTCTGGCAACCTTTCATGAAGGAAAACATAACATTTCTCACATGTCTATGGATGTTGCTAGGGGACTAATGGTGACCTGTGGGACCGATCGTGTTGTAAAGGTAACTTTTAAAAATTGTTTCAGGTACTATCTAGATTTAGAGTTGGCTTTTTGCTTTGTTCTGCTATTACCATTTCATTGACTTGACGAAATTAAAATTAAAAGCAGTTTGTCTTCTATCTTTTGTTGACAGTGTAATTTCAAAGGTGGCATCTGTTTTCTGTAAACTATACAATATCCATTTAAAAAGTTGAGGCACAAAACAGTTATAGTTTTTAGTTCCCTTCATTGTTGGTACTTTCTTATGAAGTTTCTTCCACTGCTGGTACATTTTCTGGATGTTCTTATTGTTGGCATACTCTCTCTTCTTCTGTCTAGCTGAAGGGTTGGTATGTTCATCTTCAAGGTTGGTGCCAAAACAGCCATATTTCTTAGACTTATTCCCCAACTGTATAGGGAGCCTCGTCTGCATATACCCCAGCTCCTGCATGTTCCTGTGTAGTCAACTTTGTTTTGTGCCTATCTCCATTATTATTTTTCTTCTTACTTTCCTCCTCCTTCCTTGATTTAATTTTCTTTCTTCTTGGGCTTGTGGTCTTCCTCTGGATGTCTCATGCATCTGTAACAGGCACGTTTATGTTCTAATTTTGAAGCATAACCAGATATTTTAAAATTAAGTCCCTGGGCTTGTGGCAGGTAAAGTAATTGTATTTGACATGGTTCTCGATTTACACCAGCATTTATTTGGAAGGGATGAGGTAAAGGTGGGAAGAAAATACAGTAGAACCTCATCTTAGCATTATTAGGATGACTTTAAGTCCCAGCCTTGCAAAGGACTCTGTCAGTCATCTGAGGATCAGACTTGACTGGATTAGGATGGACTCATGACCAGAAGGTTGGCCAATGGACCGTGCATTTTTTTCTATCCATAGCTATTCATCAAGGCCATCTGTTAAAGCTTAGAGGCGTTATAACCTTTTTTGTGGGGAAGGATTTCCTATATTGATGAAATAACAGAAGTTCTTAACCTTTTTTTCTGTCAGGGATCCCTGTGGCAGTCTGTGGCTCCCTTCTCAGAATGTTTTTAAATGCATAAACTACTAGGATTACAGGGGAAATCAATTATATAGAAATATAGTTATCAAAGTTTTTTTTTTTAAAGCTCAAGTTCATGAATATAGCTAAGAACCCATTACCTAGGGGATGGGATCTGAGCAACAATAAAAATGAATCTGAGGTATAGAAAGACTTTACTGTATTTTGAGACAAGCCATAGGCAATTGTAAGTTAGCCATTATTATATGATCATGGTCTGAAAATCTTCAGTCTGATCTATTACTGTACCTTCCATCCCTCCCTTTTGAAATGAGTTTTGTTTCCTGTTTTCCTTTGTGCCTCAAAAAATGCCCAATATTATAGGCTGAAGGAGATTTGGTACTATTGTGAGGGAAGAAGAAACTGGAAGAATCTAGTTTTTCTAATATGAATACTTTTCATTTTTAGCAAGTGTGTGTTTTTCCAGATCTGTCATTTGCTATCCTGTAAGATGACCAGTGTTGCCTTCTCCGACATTCCCTTTTCTCTTACAGATATGGGACATGACGCCTGTAGTTGGTTGTAGTCTTGCGACTGGATTCTCCTCCCGCTGACCTAGGACCTGGGCAATTTATGCACCTCATGTACAGCAACAAGCACCAAATGAAGTCCTTCCTCTGAATAGCTCCACGATTTCTGGTTGCTTGAATATCCAGTAACCATTTAAAAAACAAAGTTAAAAAAAGTTTTTGTTCTGTAGGACACCCCTGGAACCGCCTCGATGCAGACATGCCTCTAAATGTCTTGGTAGGATGGATACAAAGGATCATCTGTAATGTGAGTCCTGGAAAAGCGGACTTAACTTCAGCTTAGTTTGCATGTGAACAGTGTGTTAAAATGTCCTGAAAAAGGAATCAGATGAGAAGGTTAGTGGAAAACATTGAACAGAGACATAAAGGACTTTTGGTAAATGGTTCCCATAGGATTCTAAATCTACTCACAAACCAGTCTAGCCAGATTCCCAAAGCACTTTTCTGGCTGTACAGATTGTTGGAGCAAGAAGGAAGAGCAAGGAAGACACACAATACCTGGTCTGTCTTTCTTGAGGGGCAGTGATTGAATTCTGAACTGCCAGAGAGTCCTATCTGCTGCCACAACTGGAGTATGTTCTGTAGCATAGTGATTGCCAAGACTCCTCAAGGCGTCTCTTTTCCCCAGGCCGTGTGATAGTCTGCACATAGTTTCAGCCACCTTCAGTCATTTGTAGATTTCTTCTTTTTTTTTTTTTCTTGTCTCATATACACGGGCCACCGTAGATGTTTGTAAGTCAGTCGTAAACTCTCTCCGTCCCCAGAGGCAGTCCAAGCTGGCCATGTACCACCCAGCAGTTAGTTTGCAGACATTTCTATGGTGCTGTTAAAATGGGAAACACACTAAACTGCCTCGCTTTTCTCATTGCAGTGAAGAATGATTATGGTACCATCATGACTGTATGGGAAACGGTCTGTGTGTTCCATCCAACAGTCTGGTCCATTTGATACTGAAAACCTCTTTCTAGTTCTAAATTGAGGATCTGAGAGATTGCAGTAGCAATTCAGTGCGCACTTCAGAAGATCGAGCTGGTGTTTAAGCTCTGCGGCTTTTTTGGAGTTCTTCGTATTTCTTGGTGCTCCTTAAGAGTAGTCGATGACTCAAGACAATAGTTCTAAAATCAGACTTTGCACAGTAAGCAGTAACTTGCTGATATGAGACCTAACATTTTCTTTTAGTTGTTAACCAAGTTTAGTGTAGAGGCCAGGTCTTGTTAAAACTGTTCAGCTAATTGTTTCCTGGACAATGTCAGCATTCCATCCATTTTAATATTAAAATATTTATGATTTATTGCCTGCTGGGCTGCAGAAATGGGCACACTTTTTAGTATACTCGGTTAGACTTTTTGAAGAAAAAATTTTAAAACAGATGGTAATGGTGTCTGTTCCTGTGCACTGATGTATTTGGGTTAAAAGGCTCTGCTAGTTCGTGGTTAATTTTGTGGGATTAAAATGAGTCGTAGACTCTCTTTTATAGTAATAGTTAAGTGGAATATCAAATTTAGGAAATTTAAATTAGAATTAAATATTTTAAAGTCCAGATGACATGAACTAAGAGGGGATTGGGGGAGGGCTGTCACATGCATCATGTTTTGAATTAGCCTTCACTTATTTCTGAATAGCAGTCAATTTTTGGTATTAAATACTGTTTTTTGGGTTGCTGTACTTAGGAGAGGTTTTATTTTTGAAAACTTGTTAGACTTCCTGCCAAAGGCCCCATATGTTGCTTACTGAAAATGTAATTTAAAAAAAAATATAACATTGAATGTTAAACATCTTATAGTAATTTCCATTTGAACAAATGTTCTTCCCCTGTGTTCAGCCCATATGAAGGTACTGTCCTGGGGATCTGATTGGTCCTTACAAGGAAGCTAGCTATGATTGACTCTTTGCCTTGTTGAAAAGTGCTGAACCTCTAGTCTTGTTTTTTCCTAAACTTTCCAAAGTGTCATGTTTCTTCCGTGCGATAGACAGGACACATTATCAAGGCTTTAGGCAGGATTGTACAGTTTTGAATTATTTCCATTTTCGAGATACTTAATGAAAAATCCAGTGTTCCAGAGAGTGACACGATGTTGCTATAGCAACTCCTAAGGTATTAACTTAATATAAATCGGGGAAGAAATGGATGTTAAGCTAAAATGGAAGTGCAATATCTAGGGAAAGCAAAGGAAAATGGTTCAGTTTTTTTTTTCACTTGAGTTGTTACTAAAAAAAAAACACACATTACAGAAATGTCTTATCACTATCACAAATTCAGTGACAAAAAAGTGTAAGTAATACTGTTTAGAGAAACAAATAAAAATTATTTCCTTAAGTTTACTATTGGAAAGAGTACTGGTAAGGTTATATTATAGATACTTCATTAATTTTTATTTGTGGAGAGGAGAGGGTTATTTCAGATTGTCCATAAATAGCAGTTCATTTATCTCTTCATTCCTCCATGCTCACGTTCACAAACATTATTAGGAATTTCAAGCTCATAATATTGGGGAAGGAGGTCCTTATGTTAAGTGCTAGTAGAAAGTATTGTGATAAAGAAAGACCAATTGCTTATTTAATACAATTCCTTAGTTTCCCTGTGTCAGTCTCAGTGGTAAGGCCAATCCCCTTAGCCCCTGAGCATCACATAGATACAGATAATTCATTACTTCTCAAATCTCTCTAAGAGTGTGTCCTAGTTCCTATTTTGCTGCCTAGGGCAATTAAAAATTATTATAGCACTTTCCAGTTCTTATTCTCTTCCTGAAGAATCCAAGTGAGTTGTATCTTGAATTTGCAATTGTTTAAACTTGCCCCAGTTGTGGTTAAAAAAAAATTATATATATAATATAGTGGTTAAAACTTAAGCAGGTATTTTCTAAAACCAATTTGCATTTAAATAACATCTGTTTAAGTTATTGATTCTGTTACCTCCAGAAATTGAACAAACTCATTGTTGCTCTTGATGAAATACCAATTACTCATTATAAACTCGGGGTTTAACAGTGAGTAATGTGTAGTATATGTATTCAAGTGTCTATTGCTTTGTTGTTAAATGCAAGCAGATTATTGAATGCCTACTGTATTTTCTGCAGTTTACTATACCATACCAATTTAATTGTGTAAGAAATTTGTATTTAGGATACAATTTTAAGTGTTTTTTTCTTGTAGAGTCTTTTTCGAATGGGGGAGTATAGGGTACTACTAAGTGTATTTTAGTCTCTTACTAGCTATTTTCTGCAAGATACTGTGCCCTGCATAAGTTGGAGAGACTAGATAAACTTTTTCCCTTGCTCCTCTCTATTTGTGGGTTTTGTTTTTGTGGGGATTTTTTGGAATACGTGTACAATAAAAAATGTTTCTTGCTTGTTAATATGTTGTCCTGATGTTTTATCTGGATACATTTGAACAAAGTTTGGATACTGGATTATAATGCTCACCAACTATGTAATCTGTAGTTCTGGAGAAATCCAAAATTATCTGGATGTTTTTCATACTGTAGCATTAAATTAGAGCGGTATTGACTTCTTTATCACCCTGTCCAGCTTCTTCACTCTAGCCAAGAAGTTCTACTTTAAGGGAGAAATGGTGTTTGAATTACACTAAATAACAAATTTGTTTTTATGAAATTATTAACAAAGGTGCCAGTTATTATGATAGCTTTTGTGAGACCAGTAGCATGCCAAAAGTTAATTAATCAGTGCTGGAATATGCATGCTGAAAGAAGTAGTAACCATCGGTTTATTTGATTTCTTACCAGTCTCTAGAGAAGTGATTGTTAATCCTGGTCTTGTAATGACCTGGGATCTTTTCACTTATATTGCATGTCATGAAATTCTCAAAACTTAATTGTTTATTTCAAATAAAACTCAAGGAAGGGGTATTGTAAAAATCTAGGTAATGATAAGGGTATCCCACTTCAAAGATATGGACAATTATTGCTCAAGAGAATAGATTTACACCTGTGCCACTATAAAGAACTGTCAGTTAGATCTGTTTGCCTGAGAATGGGAAATGCTGACTTTTCCCAAAATTTTTTTGTTTTATCAGGCCTGTGGGTCCTAGTATGAAAGTCTGCTAGATTGTAAGTTCCATGAGGGTTGCAATCATTTCTTAATTATCTTTGCATTTCTCCAGCATTCAGCACAGTGCTTTGCATATATTAGGTATTTAATAAATGGCTGATAGAGGAATGATCAGGTTGGTCAAATCATTGAATGGCTTCCTAAATGTAGTATGGTTTTAGAAGTCAAAGCATCCTTTCCCTCGTTGGTGTAGTGAATCGTGCCCTGGGCTTGGAGTCAAGAACTTCATTCAGATCTTGCTTCAGATACCTCAGCTGTGTGACATCTCATGCCTGAAACATTACAGGAGCCTGCTGTTTGGCCTTCCTGCTCCAAAACTCTTCCTGTGCCAGCCCATCCTCTTTTTTTGTGGTCAAAGTGATTTTTGTAAAGTAGAGTACTGAGAGTGTCACCTCTTTCATACTCAACAAACACCTAGCACTTCCAGGGTCAAACATAAAATACTCTGGTTAAGGCCTTCAAAACCTGCCCCCTTCTTCCTTTCCGGTCTTCTTCCATCTTATACATTTTATTCATCATTCCAATGACGCTGGACTTGCTATTCCTCAAACAAGACGCTTCATCTGCTGACTGAGCATTTTTACTGGCTGTCCCCCCATTTACAGAATCTTCTCCCACCTCATCTCTGCTTCCTGGCTTTCCTCAAGTCTCAGCTAAAACCCTACCTTCTACAAGAAGTATTTCTTAATCTTTCTGAATTCTAGTACCTTCCTTTTTTTGATTATTTCCATTTCATCCTATTTGTAGCTTGTGTGTACATATTTGGTTGCATCTTGTCTCCCCCATTAGACTGTGAGCTCCTTGAGAATAGGGACTTTTAATTTTCTTTGTATCCCCAGTGCTTAACTTTGTGCCTAGGACATTATTTTTAAAAAAAAATTTTTTTTTTGCCTAGCACATTATTAAGCACAGTAGGCATTTAATAAATGTTTATTGACGGACCCTGAGCATGTGACAACCTCTCTGAGCCTCAGTTTCGTCATCTGCCTCTTCCTGCTCTAGAGCTACGATCCTGTAACATTAAATGTAATCTTAAATTTTGGCAACAGAATTCTTTTCACCAGATATTTTGATGAGTACAATGAAAGAATTAAGTGAATTTGAAATACCTAATTAGATACTTTTAGTTAATCTTAGGAAAAATAATGCAAGATCTTATGTTTTTTTCAAGATAATCCAATTCAAATAGGATTCAAAATAGGATCAAAGGATTTAGAGCTAGACCTTAGAAATTATGTAGTCTCATTCCTTCATTTTACAAGTGAGTAAACTGAGGCTCAGAGATGTTCAGTGATTTGCCCAAGGCCAAACAGATGGTGAGTAGTAGTGATTCAAACTCAGGTTTGGGAGCACTAAATCAAATGAAACTTAGAAAATAATTTCTCACTACTTACTACATCTGTACCCAGACTCAACATTTAGGGCTTAATAAACTTGAAAGAATAGAATAGTCGTTAAACTCTCAAGTGTTTCGTGTTTGGGTGGAGTGGAGAGTGGCTAGAAGTCTTAGAATGGAAACCTGAAGTCCCCTTCTAGAGTTCCAGAAACTCAGGAAAGTTGAGCTAAGCTCTCCATCTTTGCAGGAGTAACATGCATGCCTGAAAAGCTGGCTGGTTTCTGTATTTTTCTAGTATTTCTAGTATTTTCTGTATTCTAGTATTATCCCTATTTCATGGATTGAGACTGGGGCTGTTAGATTAAGTGACTTGCCCATTGTCACAGAGCTAATAAATAATCCTCAAACTATGTCACATCCAAGTACTTATCTGACATTATAAGGCTAATATATTAGCCTTATAATGTCAGATGAGTCAGCTTCTGCATTTCAGTTTCCCTATTCACACATGTGGGAGCTGACCTAGACTATGTTATATACCCTAAGAGGGCAAAAGAATTGGGGAAACCATATGCCTTCCCAGTTCCTGCTTTACTCTTTTTGGCAATTCGGTGAGAACTTCATAATTTTCAAAGTTAAATTGAATCCTGTAATAGATGAATTTTTTTTTTCTTCTTGGGCTAAACTGATTAGAAATCTGCTGCCAAGTGTAATCTAAGGACAAATCTGTGTATTGACAGATACTGAAATATAGACAGAGAAAACCCAGGGCTTGATTCCTTAGGTATAACCCCCAAAGGCAGCAATGAGTTGTTTCTCTATTTTTGTCTTTGATCTTTGATTCAGCATGCTATAGGGTGGTTTAGCTTTGAATAAGTTGCTTAACACCTCTAAACTTCTGTTTCTTTATTGCTAAAATGGAGTTAATATTTGTACTACTTGTCTTACTGCCTGGGAGAAGCTAAACCACTGAGCCCTGCCCTTCTCGGGACCATTTATCCTGTCCTTATCTTCACCCTGCCCTTTCCTTCTCATCTTCACCTTAGCCATTTACTGCCCCACTGCCTCTTTGTGTACTCTCCCCTCCTCTATTCCATTGAAAACTGTAATCAAATCGTCATTGCCATTTGTCTCTGGGAATAGACTGCGCTATTGTTCCACTTACCATCTTTGTGACTTCTGACATCATAGATCCCTCCCTGGCCAGCACTGCTTTATAACACTATGTGTTGTTTACTGTAATATTGATAGGCTGCCCTGCTTATTTTCATTAGACTGGACCAATTATATTTTACATAATTATAACTTTGAATAGCGTGAACTTACATTGATCCACTGGATTCATTATTCAAACTAATTGTGACCTGGCTGTAAACTTCTTAAGGGGAGGGACTACATGATTGGTTCAACTTCTCTTTTGGTCTTATATCTCTTGTCCTTCACACCCCTCTTCATAATTCTGTGTTGGTAACATGTTGCAGCCTACTTCTGCCTGCCTTCTGTACCTCTCCATTGCCTTTTGTGAGTCTTTTGGTTTGAATTATTTGAAGGTTATGTGTTTTTGCAGCCTTACAGCATCACCAGAATAATATTGATGTCAAAAGGATAAACTTTTGTTTCCAGGAAAAGTTCAGCAGTCATGAGTTCTGTGAAATTTCTCAAAGGCAATTCAGCCCATCCATTCACCTTCTCTGGCTTAATTCTGGCCCCAATTTATTGTCTGTTCAGAGGTTCTGTCCAAGACAGATCTACTAAAGTATGAGACAACACTCTATTATACATCCAGGCACCTACTACTGTCTACCACAGACATCCTTTCATTTTTTTATTTTATTTTATTAGGCAATTGGTGTTAAGTGACTTGCCCAGGGTCACACAGCTAGTAAGTGTCAAATGTTTGGTCTGAGGCCAGATTTGAGCTCAGCTCCTCCTGACTTTAGGGCTGGGGCTCTATCCACTGCGCCACCTAGCTGCCCCCAACAGACATCCTTTTAAAAAAGTATTGATAACACCTACATTTCCCATTATACCTCTCTTCTCTCCCCCTTCAAAAGATCCATCACTTAAAGGATATTTTTAAAAGAGAATAAAAGGTATGTAAAAATTAACCAGTGCATCAACCAAACAACAATATATGCATTGTTCCATACCCATAGTTCCCTACCTCAGCAACAAAGAGAAAGGTGTGTGCTCGCTGGGGAAAAATTTACAATGTACAGTATGATGGATGTGGAATCTGAGTACCTGGGCTCTGCCACCTACTAGCTTTACGACCTCCCTTAACCTCACTCCCTCCACCCCCCACCCCCCACCCCACCCCTCACTTTCCTTATTTACAAAATAAGAACGGGATTAGATGGTCTCTGAGCTCCCTCCCAGCTCTCAATCAGTGATGCAATGATCTCTCTTCTTTGGGTTCAAGCTTGGTCATTATTTCACACCATTCAGTTTTGATTTGTCTTTGTTTCCATTGGCATAGTTTTAGTCATCGTGTACATTGTTTTCTTGGTTTTGCGCGCTCTCTGTCAGTTCCTGTAAGCTCTCTTCATCACTTTCATACTTTCTGCCATTTCAGGAACATTCCATTCTCTTTATGTCAATGGTCATTTACTTTGTTTTTAGTTCTTTGCTGTTACAAAATGTGCAGCTATATAAATATTTTGGTTTCTATGGGGCCTTACAATAGATATTCCTAATTTGGTTTTTCCTGCATGAATAATTAGACTGAAGTCTTCTAAATGAATATGGATCTCATGGAAGAGGCTTTGCAGCGTTGCCGCATTTGATGCAGGTCAGCACGATGCCACATACAAACAGGAATGTCTAAAGGACCTCACCTTCCAAAGGGAGCCCTCAGTTGGACATCCTCCAATCCAGTAAGCAAGCATCTTTGGCCAACTTATATCTGTTTCCATTTTAATTAAGCAGAAGGCCACTGAACAAAGCTCTCTG